AAATTTAAATTAATTGGTTGACGGATAATATTTAAAAATTAATTTTAATTGATAATATAAACTTTAAAAAAAAACAAAGAAAACTATATTTTGATAATAGTTAACTTATTAACTAATTTTTGTAAATCATGTTAAAAATATTTTCAAATTTTGTTTTATTTTTATAATAGAACCATTGATTATAGAATAGACACAATCCAACTTCAAAAAATTTTTTAAGAACATCTTGTATTAAATTTTTTTAAATGTTTTTGTTTACTCCAGAATGGGAAAGAAAATATGCAATTGGAATTTTCCACTGAGGATAAATACCTCTAGCCATAAATACTATAAATACTAGAACACAGTTAGCACTTTTATTGGTCCTTCCATAATGACTCAAGTCCTCAAAACCTTCAATAAAATCAAATTCTTTTAAATATTCTACAAATTCTTTTATATACATCTCATCAAAACAAACAGAGCACACTTTTTCTTTATAATCAGATGATTCAAATTTTTTTTGAAGTTGACTAAAAAATAATTTACTAAAACCTGGTAAAAACTGATTGACCAATCCAATAACGAATAGTAGATGGTCCTGGTAAATTTACTTTCTGAGAACGTAAAAATTTATATGCTGCTGGAGATTTATAATATAAATTTAAAGCTAATTGTTTTTCATTTAATGTCCAGGGACGACACTTATCTTTTAACTGCATAGTCGCTATTGCCTTAGAATTTATAGAAGAAAATGTATGCATATTTATTAAATTTTTAAAATTATAACAAGTACTAAGATTATTTTATATTTTTTAATTTTGAAATATGAACTATTTTATTATGAATTATTTTGTTTTTTTGTTGTAATTTTTGCTTTAAATTCAATTTTCTAGGAGTATCTATTTCAATTGAATCAAGTTTTCTTTTTAAATTGGGGCTAGGCATGTGTATTATGTTTGTTATTTTAGCTTTTTGAGTAGAAGAAAGTAAAGAAGGGGACTTGGGAAAACTAACTCTATTTTGAATGTGTATATGTTTTAGTTGGAGTTGATATTTTAATAAATTCTTGTTCAGGTTTATGATTTTTATTTAAGTTTGAAAATGTACATGGCTGTTGCTCAGATTTATTATTATAATTATAGGGAATAGCAGTGTTAGTTAAACGGTTTTTATTAGAAAAATTTGTAAAACTCTCAGGTGGGAAATGCTCTTTGACAAATGTACCTTTTATGCAGTTTTTCGGGTTCAATCGAAAATAAACTTGTGTTTCCTGTGAAGATAAATCAAATATTAAATAAATAACATTATACTTTTTAGAATTTAAGTTAGAAGAAATAATATTTTATAATTATATAATCTTATATTTTCAAGACAATTTAAACTATCAAGATAAATCAAAATTATAAATTTTTTACCTTATTTCAACTTTAAAGGTTAGTTAATAAAATATTAAAATTTATTTAAATAAAAAAATCATTAATTTTTATTTTTATTCCAATTATTTATATTGTTACTTTTAAAGGGATAACATTTAAAATAAAATACCAATAATTTACGTACTTAGCACAACATTTTCTTTAACATTATAAAAAAAAGAATTAATTATTTATTTACCCGAATTTATCATCCAAACTTCTCTTTTCTCGTTGTTTGGAAAACGATAAAGTCGTAAATTAGGAAACAAATTCCTCGACTTGCCACAATTCACATACTGACATTTATTACCAGACATTTTCAGATAATTTTATACTCAAATAAATGAAAATTATTTTTTGTATAAAAGACTGATCACATAAATCACAATAAGAGTTGGTAACCCAAAAATTGTCTCTCACAAACAAGAAACGACTGAACAGTAAACAACAGTCAATTGGATATTTAACGATATCGGATATACGATAACGAATTATGAAATAACATATTTTAATCAATAATAATACAAGAAATTTTATTTTCATTTTCATTTCTTTTGAACATATATTCTATTTTTAGAACGACAACTATTGTACCCTCGCTCTTCCTCACCATACTATGGTAGTGGTACCACCACATTGAATCTGGACACCCTCCGCTTTGCTTACCTACCTATGAGAAGGTACACCACCTTTGCATCACTTCTACACTAGCGCGTTTAGCGGTTGCATCATTTTCTGCACTAGCACTCCATAGTGACTGCATCCTATGAATGGTCACCAAATATTAACATTACATTGTCTATCTGTCTATTCTATAATCAATGCTAGAACTGATGAAACTTGCTGTAAGTGAATACCCTAGGTAGGTGAAAATCGCTTTAAGTAAATTTCCTAGATAGGAGACAACACTTGAAAAAAAACTGTAGTTAAAAAAGTGAATACCCTACATAAGAGACAGGACTTTAGAATACCGCAATTAGAAGTCTAATATGCGAAACCGGTGATAACAACGTTTGTGACGTTGGTACCTCTGATTTGTTTTACACTTTGGCGATGTCGTTTTGAACGCGTAAACATTAAACAATAAAATTCTATACAGATAAGTCAAATTCGAGTGTCTAGTGGTCGACTATCATAATAAATTCAATGGTGTAATATACCTTGTCCGTAGCTCTGTGCTTTTGTGTATGGAAAATAAATACATTCCGAAAACGGTAATCGAGTGTCTAGTTATCAGTCATTGCCCAGTGAAATTGATTCCTGGTTGAGCAATCTGCCTACGGCGGATTATTATACCTCCCGACGTCGAAAGCATTGTGCTTGTTCTGTATGTAAAATAGTTTAGTCGAATCGAGTATTTGATTATCAATCACCATTGAAAATCCAGTTAAACGTATTTAAATCTCCCAGGTTAGACAATGTGAAAATTAAAGAGATATTTTAAATATATTATAGAAAATGCAAAACAAATGTTAGCGAGTCGTGGTAAATAGTGAATTAAAAATCAAAAAGAATATATATTTAAATTTTTTTTGATATTTTATAGATAGTTAGATATCAAAAAGAAATATGTACTTTCCGTGATAACAAAAATTACAATTAATTAACAATAATATTTAAAAAATCAAATTTAAATGAAACAAATTTAAAAAAAAACCAATAAATCCGGCTATGTAATTTAACGGCCGCCCGAACTTCGCCAAAGCAGGTTCGAACCTGTCTACTAAACATTAGAGAACCTATCCAAACACCTATCGACTACTGTTTCAGTTGGAACTCGGAAAGTCGTACCGAATATCGATCATTTAAACCGTTTTAGAGAAGCAACGAATATTGCATTAAACGTCATTTAATCAATGCAATTTTTATAATTCGTGTTATGAAGCCTTAAATCGCATATTGTGGTTTAGAGTGTTTCTGATGTATTCATCTACATTAATTGTATATATATTAATGATATATTAGGTTTATCACATACATATATCATATCACCAAATTTATGCAAAAAATTAAATGTATGCTCTCACCTGATCAATATAATTTCATATAATACACAAAATACTTAATAGCAATGTTTCATAAGCCATTTCTGTATTCACAAATATTTTAAACATGCTATAGATATATTATTTATTTATTTATATTACATGCATTTATTGTAATATTCATTAATTCACACCAATTTCGTGCAAAAAATTAAATAGTGTTGCACTCACACGATCATTAAGATTTCATATAATAGTACATAAGTATTTATGTATGTAGAATTATACTTCTATATTTAATATGTATATGATACTAGAGCCTATAAATTACACTCTATTTCATTTGTTTTTGTAATTTTCAATAATGTTTATTAAATATTTTATATTTAACAAACTCACAGTACAAGGGCACCCATATAGGGGGGCAAGGGAGGAACATATCCTCCCCTGGAAAATATTGAAAAAATTATTTACACAAGATTTACAATAAGTAGAGATAAATTTGATGGATTATACATGATAAGCGTACATAGGGAAAAAATTGATGATGAAATGAATGAATATATAGAACAAGTAATAAATATGTTTGATGTTAAAAAAAGAAATTTACAATTTTTATTTGTAAATTTATGTTATTAATCAAATGAAAATTCAATAAATTACTTTTATGGTTAATTGGTTAAATAATTATTATTTCATAATCTTCCAGTTTGATATATAAAATATAATAGTATAATGTTAAATTGTAAACCCCTTCCTATCTCATGGACACCCTTGTCACAGTAGCTAATTAATAACACTGACCTCAGACGCAATCAAAAGCATATAACAACTTAAGAGCAAAACTTTTGCAATTTGTTTTTGTAATACATAAAAGAATTTGTTAAACCCGACATATGTCAACAATCGTATGCACATTTTTTTTTATACACATGACTGTATTTTATATACAATGGAGACAGTACTGATGAGTGATGAGATCGTGGAGGTGTCTGAGGGTTAATTCAACTAAAATAAAACACGTATTTTAATGTAGATAAATAATTTATTAAATTGTAATAGTAAAAATAAAAACAGTAGTATATATGACAATACGATAACCGACCGTTGAATATACTGCGGGTATGTTGGTTTTTCGAACGCGATGGCGACGGTTACAAACGGAATTAAAAATAAATAGTACTCTACGCGATAGAATCGAAAATGCGACGGAAAAACGTCTCGGAAGGCCGAAAAACGGGCGAAAAGCAGAAAAAACGTTAATACTTAATAATAGCAATAAATAATAATAGTAATAACAACAACCGATAACGATAACGGTCCGTCGACGGCGGGAGATAACGGCAACCCAAAATATTGTATAAAAAAAAATTTAATTTGTCGATTGGTAAAACCTCATGTGGAGCGTCACCTCTGGCGGACGGAGAGCGAACTCGCTCCCGTTTTTATATTATAAAGAAGATACTTTGTAATATACTAGGATTTATTTGGCAACACTGGGGGAAGATGATAGGAAGTTGGTTAGGAAAATAGTAGGTATGTTATGTTTATTGTTTGTGCATGTGATTTTTTTGTTAAAGAGCATATTTAAAATAGTGTTTATACTCTAGTTGTCAAATTTTATACTTGTTTCAATAAGATAAAAGTTAATTTTATTTGAATTTATCTTATGACAAATGGAATTTAAGATTTTTTCATAAGCAGAACAACCCTTTTCCGTTGTTCTTAGTCTCCATTACAAAGTGCATCAAGCAAGTTATTAGCTGGTTCTTAACAGGAATCTTTTCGGCAAACATATTTTGGCAAGTAATAATCATTGTATTAAAATTTTATGCCTGAAACTCTAGGAATAGAAGCATTTGCTCGGGACTGATTAATTTTTATTTTTCGTAGTAAATGTGTTCAATATTTAAGATTAATTATTTTACACAGTTTAAGTTAATAATGTATATGCATTGATATACTAGTGTCATGAGATTTTTATACCTTGTCTTGGGTTGAAAAAAACAACTACAACTAAACTAAATGAAACATTCTCATAGATATAATGCAACCAAATAACATGGGATAAAACCTGTTTATTATGTCAAACTTGTCCATCATCTCAACTTGATTTTACTATAGTTCTACCTAGGGCAGTGGTCGGCAATAGACGATTCGTGAAGGAAAAATAATTGGACCACAAAACATATTTTTTTTTTAATAATGCTTTCCATATATAATATATATTTTATTTATTTTATGATGTATTTAGAGATTACGATGGTGTTTATTGTTTATTGCTATTTACAATAATAGCTGCGATAACACAACAATTATTAACTAATATCTGAATTTTTAGTTTTTACTGGCTGTCAAAATTTTTATTTTTGATTTTCTGGACCTCCATAGAATTGAATTGCTGACCCCTGACCTAGGGAATGGATTTTAATTTAGTATAAAATAAAAAATATTTAAATTGAAAATACATTAAAATTATCTATAATTTATAAATAATTCAAATTAATTTCATATATTTATTAATACATACACAATTTTTATTCTGAATTATTCAAATATTCGGTAAGAAAAAAACATGAAAATTTTAAAATTTAAAATGATGGCGATTTGATCTTAGCATTGCTTTATGACCTCTCTACCTCAACGAAAGTGATAGATACATATTTTTACACAATAATTCTTTTGGATTGTAATCTATTCTTAAATTGTTTCTGGAATTTTGTTTTATAGTATATTCCTTATCAACATTAAAGCATTAAATCCTGGAGTTTTTCTTATTATGTTTTATAATTTTGAATTTGTTAAAATTTAAATTTCTCCAAAAACACGTTCCAATTGTTTTATGGCATTATTAACTATAGTAGAGCCTTGATAGTTTGGACGAATTCAGACTGAACATCATCTGAATTACTGGAGGATTTTCAATATTACCTACTCAAATAACTAGATTTTTATTTTTTATTTCACCACCTTTATAATATTTATTGCACTTTAAATTACAAAAAAAAAAAAATGTTTAATAATAGAACTTAAATAAGTATTCAGTAATTTTTTTCTGAATAATATTTTTAATTTTCAAAAAACTACAAATGTATTTACAAACAAATAGACTTAAGCTGTCCAAATTACTGTGTTCATTGGACTATCAAGGCTCTACTGTATTTCTAGGCTCTCAGTTAATGCCATTTTAGAAGTTTCTCATTTTGAAATGATATCAACTAAAAATCCAAAATTAGCGGAAGTAAATGCTAAATTGTTTTGCAAGTTTTTACATTCTATGAGCGCAATAGTTTTTTTTAATGCAATAGCTGCATATTTATTTGTAAAATATTTAAAATAAAATTAGCATCAGCTTATTCAAAATTAAATGAAATGTACACATATATCATAAACTTTCCAATGTTTAAACTATATAAAAATGTTTATTTAAATTAAAATCTGTTCTCTAATTATAACACTACTGTTAAGTATATGAAGTTTAATGTTAATATTTTTAAGTTATAAGTTATTATATACAAGTGATTCAACATTTATGCTATAACTTTTTATTATTGTATAAATATTTATGATAAAAAAAAATATTTAATACCAAATTTTTTTTTTTTTTTTGTTATTTATAATTTGATTTGTAAAAGTTGAAATTTGTAGGTACAAGTAGTTTATGTGTTATAAATATTTCAAGTTTAGATAAGCAAAATGGAGTAAAATGTTAATGACTAATGAAATACTGTATAAAATGTTGGTCTACTATTTTGCTCACCTAACTTTTTTTTTTTTTTTTTGAATAATGGATACTGACAGCAAAATAGGATCTTTGTGAATAACATTACATTGCCCAATATACCTTGGACATTGTATACATTGTCCGAATTTTTCACTTTGCCCGTAACATATACAATACAATTATTTAACCTCGTACACCAGAATCATCCAAATCTTAAACTTATTACTTATAAACTACTCGTCAAAATTTCAATTTTTAGTATCAAAATATATATATATATATATCAAAAAAAGTTAAAATTAATCCCCAAAAATTCCCCTAAAATATTGTAAAACAATATGAAAATTACTAATCGTTTTAGATATTTCTAAATAAAAATACATTTTTACTAAAATGGTATACATTTTATTTTAATGTATTGAGTAAATACTATTGTACTAATAATTATAATACTTAAGTGATTTGGGTACACATTCATTGTACATTACCATTTTTAACTTATACATATATAAAATACCTATGGTAATAAATAATTATTTTGTTTGTTACAGAGGAATTATCATTGGTTAAATTAAAAATGAATTCAAATGAACAAACTCTTAGAACAATAACTGTAGCTCAAACATCTCAAGTTGTTGAAGATGTGAAAGCAGATTTGGATAATGAAATAACTAAAACAAAAAAAACTCTAGATCAAATTGATCAAAATATTTTCACTTGCATCAATGATTTAAAAAAACTCAGAAGAAGTGTCATAATATCACATTTTGCAAATATGAAAAATAATATTGATGGAAATAAAAATAGTCAGAGAGATGCTCTTCTGAAAAACTTGGAACGTGAAAACGAAATCAAAGATTTGGGTGAATTTATGGCACATTTGAATAATGCATCGACTCAAGTAAAAAGTGAACCCATGAGCAATATTGAAGAATTAAACAAAATTGTTTTACAAAATACCTTACTTTCTGAAAGCTTTATTCCAAAGACTGGATTAATTGATTTAACATTTATTATTGGAAATACTGTTAAAATAAGTGATTCTGAAAATGAAATGAAATACAAATGGACTGTTTATGTACGCAATGCTGAAGAAGGAGTTGACAATTTAATTTACATTGATAAAGTGACATATTTCTTACATGAATCATATGAACCCAATCATGTTGTAGATGTATTTAAAAAACCATTTTCATTAACAAGACATGGATGGGGAGAATTTGTAATTCGTTTACGTTTGTTCTTCAAAGGGAACATGAAGGTTCAAACTGATGTGTATCATAAACTGTGCCTGGATAAAGAAATAACAGCTGGTATTCCAATGGTTGCTAAAGAGCAAACTGTAAAGTTCAATTTATTACTACATATATAAAATCTTTTTTGAATATACATATAGACTATGTGAATAGTTTATATAGAAGTATTATAACTAGAGTTAGGATGTTTTAATTTTAATTTTCTTTAAAATTTCTAATTTTATTTTGCACTTTTTTGCATTTTTGCTATAAATGCACTTTTTTGTTTTTTAACGTCATTTTTTTAACATTTTTTCATTTTTTAAGGCATTTTTGTACTTTTATACAATGTGGGGCATTTTTCACAAATTATAGATTTAAGGGCAAATGTTACATAAAATATGTAACGCAAATATTTTTAATATAACTTTTTTTTATTTATATTTTACTTTTTAATTTATTTTTAATATTGAAATTTATTTATAAATTATTTAAATACTTCTACTATTACACCCATTATTATACCCATATCTCTAATAAAAATTATTATTTATAAATAAGTTTTTTCACTTAATTAGTATTTTAGATAACTTTTAAGGTCATTTTTTTGAAGTTTTTAGGGCATTTTTGTGTGTTTTTTAGATCATCAACATCCTAACTCTAATTATAACTATGAACATGAACTTGATATATTGAACCATATAATTATTTTACTTTTTAACTTATTATATAGATAAATAAAAAAAATCTCCCTTCAAAATAAAAACTTATAAATTATTATTAATCTTTGATTCTTCAGTACTTAGTTAGAACTAATTAGTAGATACCTAATTTAAGTAATCATTCTATTTTCATTTTATTGTTTTAAATAAACATGTTATAAAACATAAATTATGATATGTTATTATAAGAGATGTCAATATTTAAAAATTATAATAAGAAAACAACCTTAGGTAATAAGTAAAGTTTCAAATCGAATGTTTCATAACAACATAAAAACATGTAATAGGCTAAGATAACAATTGTGTTACATATTTTAGTTTTAAGCATATTGTAACTAAGTTAAGATAAAAATAATCTTAAACATAGTGTATGTAAAACTACATTTATTGTATAAGGAAAACTGGATAATCAAGAAAGAGATCATTAGTGGTGATCGTGTGACTCGGCTACGACTATACACAAATGCATTAATAAAGTTTTTTATAGTATTCTAATTAAGCCTTCCAAAATATCTGCTGCCGCCTAATTACAGGAACACCCTGGTATGTCCCCAATAACATTATAAACTCCGATCTCAAAATCCGCTCTGTCAACAATACAGCCACTCTATATTACAAACGCTTTTTCACATGAAACTCCAATTCAACCCCAACCAGCTTATCAAGAATTTGGCCTTATCAGCATTACCCTGGAACCCGACGAGAAGACTTAAACGAAACTGGTGCCGTGATTTGAAAACTGTATAAAACGTATACTCAATGTAAATAATGCAAATTTTAATTCAAATTTTTAAATATTAAGTCAGGTGTCTCTAATGTGAGACTTCCTACTATCTAATCACTCACTCCCAAATTTTTATCTTCATACTTATTACTTATTGTGCAAACTATGTATGGATCATAATATTTCAAAATAAAGAGAAATTTAAAAAAAAAAAAGTATTCTAATTTTTCATTTATTGTGTATGTTAATTTGATTATCGTATATAATAATTTTTACCATCTATATTGTCTTTTGTCATATCTTCTATAAGCCTACAGTACTAATAACTTATATTTAAATATTTTGAAAATAGAAGTAATATGGAAGATTAAAGATAATATTTTTAAATTAAGTACTTCAGCAGTTGTAGAATATATTTATTAAATAAAATAATGATGGACTTACACTTGATTCAATTAGCTTGAATTAATAATAAATAATAATTAGGTACTTAAATATGGCTTTAATACATACTATATAATAATTCATAGATGATAACATATTAACATAAATAGGCTGTAGATAGGTACCGTAAATATAATTTATTATTATATAATATAATATTTAAATAATTATAAAATAACCTTGTAATATTATCAACTATAATGTAAAAAAATATTAAATAGTATTAATTGTACGAAGATTTTTATTTTGGATTCCGAGCACAATATATTATGAATTAAGATCTTATATTCATATCTCATCAATTTAAGGTCTAAGTCTGATAGTCTGATTTTTTTAAAAATTTAAATCAAGTTTATCATCAATGAAAAGTCAACAGTTTAACTACGTTCATTAAAATCATGACTATAGATATGAGTGGTTGCGTGTCCTATAAAAAAAACGGCGTGATATAAATACTTATAAAGTTTAAATTATTTTATAATCGATTTATTATGATTATATAACAATAGTAAGTATGTACCTACTTATTTTATAACTATGTTAAAATAATTTCAACAATTTTGTAGGCAATTATCTCAAAATATAATTTTTTTTTTTGACCTGTCTGCCATCTGATAAGATTTTCAGTTTAATTTTATAAAAAAGTGTGAAATTGCAAGATAGTTAAAAATGTATATAGCTCTAGAAATAAAATAGATTTAAACTCAATCAATTATCAATTTACTAAAACTTAAGGTCCTGTCGTAAACAAACCAGTGAACCGAAATGTATGGTTTAAACTAGATAGAAAAAAGCTATATTATAGAGCCTTAGTCTTAACATCAGATTTTTTTTTTTTAAAAACACTAAGAATCCATTAAAAAACATAGTTGTTACCATTTGAAAAAAGTTGATTTTGAAGAACTGCTTACTTAAAAAATTAAATTTTTTTTTCAAAAACAAAAATTGACCGTTCAAAATAAAGAAACGTGTTTTTTTTCTTGTTTTTAAAATTCCATGTTATCGATCCATAATCATTAAACATTAAAAAAAACTCGCGTACAACAACAAGATAATAGATCATAAGTCTAGTTCTAGGTTTATGCATAAGATACACTGTATGATCTTGGATCAGAAGGTATAATCTCGTATTATGATACACTATACACTAAAATATAACAATATCACTCGATGTTACAGAATTGCGGACAAAGCCAACAAAGTGACAAAAACCACGTGAGTTGTGGACGAAATCTAAAAAGGTAACATACGAATTGCGTACACAAGTATAAGATGGGTATTGGATACTAATAGAAAAATATCCAATCATTTTTGATATAACGTTCGTGGACGTTGGGAAATTACTGTTTGATATTGAGACAGTTGTCAAAAAATGTTTGATCAGTTTAACCACAACCTTGTTTGTTTAATATTTGTCGTCTTTCTGATCATCTATTTTCTATATAAAAATTTAATTTTCTTCTATTTCACGAAACGCAAATGCTTGTGAAAGTGTTCATGCTAACCTTAATGGAATCGTGGTCACCTTAAATGAAATACAGATTGGTAGCTATACAAAAATGAATTACACCTACTACTGTATGAAATTCAAAACGAACAAAAAAAACTGTCAAAAAAAGGAGGCATTTATTAGCAAATATATGTTGCAATATTCAAGTGGTGAAATCAATAGAATATCATTTATATAGGCTGTTTCAAAAAAAAAATGTTGCCCAAATCCTGAAAAAGTGGTGAAAGGCAACTCGCGTGATTTTTATTAAAAAAAATTCTGTACACAATCAATATTATGACAACGAAACTCTTAACTCGTGTCCGCAATTGTTAATTGTTATAAACTTATAATTTATTTATAAGTTATAATATTGACCTGAAAAATTTGCTTACAACTAGTAATTAGTATGTATCTAATATCTATAATCTATATCACTGATACCTTTTATCACGTCTATTAAAGTTAAATTACAGCTGGCATATCTTATCTATATTTTATATCATCATGATAATAGAACGACGTTCTGCTTTAGCACTCTGAGCCCCGAGGTAGGTACTTTTGCAGTTTATACTTACCTTTTTATGGAATAAACAGACAGTGCTACAGCCTACAAGTGACAATTCACAACTTATTACTGTGCTTAAAGCTTTAAGGTAAAAGATTACTGTTACTACTTTTCACAAAGATTTTTCAATTAATAACTGAAGGTAGTAATTGTTAAATTCACAGATAATAGTAATTTAATCAAATACTATATACATTGTATATAGTATTTGATTTTTGATTACATTTAAAAATGAACCAGAAGCCAGAATCTTCATCTAAATGTCGAACAGTGAGTATCCATATTTGATATATACCAATATATACCTATATTGCTTTAGAATCAACTGTATAAATATAGTTAATACTTTAACAGATGACCCCTAATTACTTAACATATTCTTAATTTATTGTAAAAAACAAATTTTTATCTTTATTAAACGCATAATAACCATCAATCTACCTTGATAGATTAAAATATCTGAGAAATTACATATCTAGGAAATCATGGTTTGGTTTATTGTAGAAATGCCTCTTAAGTGTTGTTACAATAATAATAATATCACGCTTTTTAACATTATGCTAGAGTAGTCGGTTTTTTAAGTTTGGTATTATTATTTTTATTATGAATGATTTTCATTGTTATGAATCTGTTTAAGTACAAATATGTGGTATGGTTGTATGTACTAAACGGGTTGTTATCATTTTCCATTATTTTGCAGAATTTCACAAAAAAACCCTAATTACTAATTAGGTAGTTAAAGCATTTATGCTTAAAATATAGAATATTTGTACATAATATTATGTTTTATGTGCTAAATACTTGTTTAAGATAAATTATTAAAAGCATGTTATCTTATTTTATAATAATAATAAATAGGTAGATATTACAATATATTTTAGTAAAATAATTAAATACTTTGCCTAAAATTTTTTGCCTTAGATTTAAAAAAAATTAACTGTCCTAATACGTTAGATATTAATGTATGTTATAATAATATAAACTATGCAGTTATGCCATTAATATTAGTTAAGATATCTAGAAATGTTTAATAAGATCCAATGATTGAATGTTGAATTTACCAATTTTTTTTTAAAATAAGTATCTATTATTGCTATATTTTAGAATTATTATAAAATGTAATTACATATTTTAAATTGGTTTATATTAACTTTAAAGAACCCTTACTGTTTCAAAATTGTATTTAAAAAATATTATTAATCAAAAAATAAATTATTGCCATTGAAAAAACCAATAATACTTATGTATGTTCCCTAATGGCTGAACCTAAAAAAATATATGTATGCGTGGGTAACCTACTGACCTATAGTTAGTCTTGGATCTTTTTTTTTTAAATAAATTATTAAATTAGGTAAGTCTATCCCCATCCTGCTTCAAACAATCCATAATTTACGCCATGACCCATGTATGGTATATGTGGTATTTAAGTAATTTAGTATCTACTATCTAGATTTATAATACTAATATACTTCATAGTAGATTATCAAATTGTATTTTGTATTTTATTTTTTGATATTATCAAATTGCTAAAGAAAATTAGTAATTATTAATTTACAAATGAATTATACAATGATAAATAGTTTGCTTATCAAAAAAATTAACATAATTTGTCATCTTATTATATGACAATGATTAAGCATAGGTTTACGATGTAGGTATTAACAGGTCATGGTTTCAAATAAGTAGACCCTGGCTCGTTGATCCAGTGCAAATTGTGCAAATTAATTGTGACAAGATAATTAATTACATTTTTATTTTATAGTCTATAAACTATTTTTTAAACTTTAAGATAATCATCAAAAATTATCTTCCATCTAAGTTTTGAAATAATTGTACAATTAACTAAAATTTATCTTAAATTAATACATTTTAGTTTATGGAAAAAATAAAATTATGCAAATTAATAATTTATTTCTTTATTGCTCATTAACTAGTAATTCGTAATTATTTTTACAAAAAAATTATTATCAATACAAATATTAGATAAATATAGGAGTTGTAATATAAACAGATTTCGCGTATATGTTAATACAAAATATTTATTGTGTAGGATTAGTTATGCTGCGATGTCTCGAGTGATATTCATTGTTAAAACAAAATGTAATTTCTCAACTTTCGTGAAATAATTTTGAAATTAGAATTTGTTCATCTCATATCTAGTATAATCTCGTATATTATATTCGTCATGATTTTCACACACTTCAAGGTGAAGTAATGGAAATTGTTTTTAAATAACCAGTGATTGGTAGGTGGGTGCATATATTTTTTGCATCCTCATGATTGTATTATATATTCTAATTGCTATGGTAAAGCGTCATGCTGTTTTACAACCACGCTATTGGTTTCTGTTATTTTTCGACAATGTGTTGCTATTGATGTTTGATATTGATCATCATTCATCACTGTTCAATTTTTGCGAAAAAAAAATCGTTGCAGCTCAATGTCATCATAAAGCCAGCAATGGATTTTTCATGGTACATTAATTCTATTTCATATTTCGTTATTGTTTACCTCTTTAGTTTTGAATAACGTCCTTGTTGAAAATACAATAAAATATATCTATAGATATCAATATGGAATAATAATAGTAATAATAATATTAATAACCGATAGTAATAAAATGACAGTGTTGATGTTTGTATTTAATGTACTACAAATTCGATAGGAAATTATACTGTGGCTTTAGCGATTGAACACTTAAACCTATACGTTACTTATACTTGATTTTTTTTCAATTTAATTGACAAGCTTATACACAGAACCTTGGAAGTTGTAACCTTATCTTGCGGTAGTAAAATTAATTTCCGGTAAAAATTGGAGTATGTCTTAAAGAATAAATATTAGAAAAAACAATGACACCCATATCATCTGAAATGAGTTTAATGAGATTGTACTTTATTTCTTGTATTAGTATAGTTTTTAATATTTAATTCAATATTCTTAAAATTAAAATCATTTTCATAGATATCTAGAACATCTTATAGTTAATTATCGTTTTATTTTTATCGATTATTGTTGATATACTTATGTATGTTCCTTTTTTTTGCGTTGAATAGTATCTTTTTTAATCAATATAAATACATTATTAATTTACGGTTAGTTCACTTCCAATTATAGTTTGTCTTTTTTAGCTACTTACTTGTTGGCTACGAATGTAACAACTATATCACTTTAATGAGCAAGTTAAATAATAGATTATATACCAGGGGCGATTCCTGGGTTGGTCCTAGAGACCACCCCTCAAACGTATTTCTATAAAAATTATATATTATTAAAAACTAAATTACAAAAAAAAAAAAAACATACTATTATAGACACGTATAAGTGTATTGTTAGGAGTATGTATCTATTATCTATACTATAAAGTATAAATAAACTATAATAATATAAAATGTACTATGGTATTATATTATTGTTATAAATATTATGATTTAACCTCCCATCCAAGTCTGTAGCCGTTAATGTACTCAATATTAGTATATTATACTTATCTAGTCATAGTATTTTTAATATTGATTAGATTTCCTTGTTATTGTCTCCTTTTATTGTTGATATTTCATTCTTTGTTCTCAGAAGATCCTCTATTATATTATTCTGCTATATAAATAACAAACATTAAAATATTGTATAATTATAATTGATATTCGAGACTAATTAAATTTTTTTTAAATTATAATCTATATTATTAATAATTTAAATAATTGAATACTTGAGTTGCTGAAACCTAAAGAATTAGAAAATCGAGAGCTTAAACCACCTTTGTTTAAACAACGACAATTACAGAACAGTTGAGGTTTAAATACTTTAGTTATAACTTCTTAGAACTTAACAGATTCTAATTTAAAAATGTTCAACTAAGAAACGCTATGATTCCTTTGTAAATAGTGAAATTATTATACCCAAGCTATGTATTGATCTGTGTTCTACTTTATCGGAATTTTTAAAATGTCTTATCGACCTTGTTTTAGTTGTACTGTCACATTGAAAACAATTTTTAATAATTCAGTACGAACCTATCTAATAATTTAAATTACGATTGTGTTATTCTCAAATAACTTAATATAAAGGTAAACCTATTATTATATCTTATTGTATTATATATTACATCTTTTATTTTGGTTAAAAGCTTAGTATCGTAAAAAAATAACTAGGAAACACAGTTTAAGTTCTTACCTTTAAATATTATAAGTTAATTCTCTCTAATGTAAAAACTAATAATACAAAATTAGTTTTAGTGAACGATAATTTAATTTGTATATTTATTGGACGAAGACAACGCATTATGCGTGTGTGATATCCTTTTAAGCAGGGCTTACTATTTGATGTGTACTGAAATACACGAAAATACATGTAATTATGAAACACGTAATAATCCGTGTATTTAAAAATCTTAGGTAAGTACTAGAAATTAACTTTATCATAGTAATTATATAATCAAATAAAGGCAATAAAATACAATATAAACAATAATAACTAATTTAGGTTGCTGTTTTAGATAACAAGATATAATAAATTTTAAATAATAAATAATCTAATAACAAAATATGCTCTAAATTTTAATATACGTAAGTATGTATTAATTTTTAAACATAGGTAACACAAGTTAATAAATATTTTAATCAATTGAATTTCTATTTTGATACATAAAAACTAACGTGTTTACTTTTTTTGTTAACAAATAATGATCTTATACTTCCAACGGCACATGAAAATTCATTTAAAAATTCTTCATCACACAATACAATAACCTTTATCTCCTACAGTCCTACACATTTGGCATATTGAAATAGGTACCAATTTTTTTTTTTTTTTTTGACATATTAAAATAACAATTTTTATTTTAACTGTTAAAAATTATAAAAATAGTTGATACCAATTTACACTTAGCAACGAAAAATTGAAGTGTAATAACTGTCAATTGATGGAAATTTTCAATTTTGTTGTTGAATTTGGTAATATTATTTAACTACTAGTATACGCCAATAAGACTATACCGTGAAATGAATCAAACAAGTAACGAATAACAATGAACAGTTTTATCGTAGGACAAATTTAATAGTATAGATAAAAGATTAATAAAGGTGTTTTGTTTTGTTATAAATTAAAATTTGTACTTTTTAAATACACGCATAATTAAGAAAAATCCGTATAATTATATTTGCATGTGATTGATAAATGAGTATCCGTGTACACGTAAAGAAAACATACGGGTAAATACTAAATATACACTGTTTTAAATACACGGTTAACGGAATCCGTGTACACGTATACTTTTAATACCCGTAGGAAATCGTAAGCCCTACTTTTGAGTCAGGAAAGACTAGGTATTAAATGTAAAAGCGTTCTAAAATATTTAAGAAAATGTTGACTTTAAACTATGATGACCAGCTAATCGTTTGGATGTGTATTCAAATGTTAATTTATCAATTTTTTTAACTGAATTGTACCTACTTATTTTACGAAGATTATTATCATAATTAATAAATAAGTTGAATTCTGAACGTATGCGTCCGTACTCTTATACGTATTACGCATTAAAATTATTTGACACTTTCATCTATTTACACTGGACATTGAAGTATGAATTTTAGACTTTGACCTTGTATATTATTAACAGAGAATAATATAAATAATATATTAATAGATGGTGCTCATCTTTCATAATTCATCGCAAATACCATTTAGACAGGAAATTATAGTCTGATAGTATAAATGACATATTCCGGTTATTATTACGTTGTGTTCTTCTTGTTTTTATTATTTTCCATTAATATTCATACTTGCAAAACAATTATTTAAAATTACCATTGCTATAGAATTTAGTAATGCATATTCTTATGATTGGTGTTTATTTAATTTTTTTAATGTTCATAGATTACCTATAATAATTATGATACCCGTGCAGATACCATAAAAAGTGTTGCATTAAATATTAGTATATTGTATAATGATAATACGTTTATTATCTAATACTTCATTGATTAGCTATCAAGTTTTCACCAATTCGCTTATAGGAACAAGATTGCAAATATTTATGACGTGTTAGGTTTTGTGCGACTATGTTTGTAGAAAGTTAAAAAGTGAACCATACAGTTAATATTAATACACCTTAACCCTCGAGTATCCAAATTATTATTTTTATTATTCAGTATCATCTTAGCAATACAATTTTCATAAAATAAACAACTTTTTTAATAAAACTATTAATTTAATACAATATTTCTATATATTGTAAACACGTAGGCAATAGGTAACTATAGTAAGTTTATAAATAATTCTAAAATCGTTTTTATCTCAGTGTACTGTACTAATATCCAAATTAAAATGATGGTTCATAATACATAATATTAAATTAAACGATAAAGATTGTTGTTTGACCTTGATAAATAAGTTCAACAGCTTTTCTATTTAGTTAACTTGAGTGTTGAAGATAAGACAGGTGATAATCAATTAACTAGTATAAGCATTGTATGTATGCAACATACATTTACAAAGTACCTAGGGTATATGTTTTAGTTTGTATAGAATAAGTATTATTCATAAAACTTTAAATCTTTTTTTTTTTGGAATTATTCAAATACTAAACGATAAGTTATGCCCAGAAAATAATTCTTTAAACTGTCATTGGTCTCTGTACTTGCGGAGGCGAAAGCAACATTTTTCACTCGAGATCATAATTGGGCGATGGAGGTCAGCGTATAGAGGGGGTTCTTCTGTTCTTGGCAGTCCGTTAGATATCCTAGTGTTCCGGTCTTCTTTTGATCAATTGGAAAATCACGCTCGTTGAGCTGACAACCAAATAATTTGCTCTCTTGTTTTTAATATTATTTTATTTTGTAACTTACAACTTGACTATATCACGCGCTAACTTATAACTTACAAATAGGTTTTTGTTCATAAAGATTTTATTACTTTTAATTAAAAATGTCGGTTAACGTAAGAACCAAAGCGGTTCGTGGTCCAAATAGAAGTGTACGTATATTATGCATTATATTTACTAAACATTTTTTATTTACAAGTTTATTATTTTATTCGCATTGATTAGTAAACTACTTACCTAGATTTACAGTTTTTTACATTATTTTTGTTAATATTCATTATTTTATGACTTCTATAACAATAAATTTAAAATTATTAACTTAACTAATATTAAATAGGTATATGCTTATTTTTCAAATACAAATTTATAATTTTTTAGTGTAATACAGTCTGGGTTTTTATGTATAAATATATATTATATAGACTTCCTTTTTTTTATTACTACTTCATAGTAAAGCTTTACTATGATATTTTGTATTTTCTCGCTAAATATTTGATCGAATTACTAAATTTTAGATTTTCTTAAGTCACTGGTACAAATGATATAATTATATAAGCTTTAAGAAATCTACAATAAAACTTAACCAATTATATTATATAAAATACTTATTATTTTTTTCATAACGATAAAAAATTTAATAATTAATACTTAAGTCAATAACGATCACATAATAAAAATAATACTTATTTTAACTTTAACAGTCAAGCCTTATAAATTTACGTTTTAATACTGTTATGATGTTTTAAAACTATAAGTATATTATTTTATTTTCCTGAAAATTTAGCAATAGATTGCGTGTTTGAAAACAAAATTTTGTTTAGTACATTTAAGTAATATTTTTGTAAAACAATTATACATTGAAGGTCATATTTGGCTTTCTCTGGAGAAAGTAACTTATTATACGAGTTTCATAATACATTCATTAGGCCGGATTTACTTCCTGTCCTAATGAAAATTTTCGTATTGGTACTTCCGTATCATCATCAAAAATATCTCGTTATTACGTGCATGTTGTTATGAACAAAAATTTGCTGTAAACGCTTTCATTTAAAATATATATATTTTAATACAACGCATAGGACGTGTTATATAATATAATAATATTTGATATTAAAATGTTGATGCTATTTTTCGGGTGGCTATTATTTTTTGTGAACTGAAATTTCCTATAAGATTCCACTATATGAATAAATGTTACTCTTATACAGTGTTCACGTTTCTATGTCTAAAATAAGTAAATAATTGCCAACTTCAAATAATGAAAAAAAAAAAAAATTAAATTTTTGTGTGTATATTATTATCAACTTATTTTTACTTTTTAGAGCTATAAGTATTATTTTGTTATGTAATTAAAATAATATAATTTATCTACCAATAATTAAAATAGTTTCTAATTAAAAATACGATATATCCACATTTATTGTCTCCATCTTATACATACGCAAAATATATTAACATGATAAATTTTATATTTAGAATACCTAATTTATTTTAATTTGTAATTTTTAATTTTAGAATTTATTTATATATTATCAAATTTAAAGGTAAGAATATTATCTAAGATCTCTATTAGACTTTTATTGTAATTTTAATTTCAAAACAAGTTATAAACATTTTAATTTAGTAAATAACTTCAAAGTTAAGATATCAAAAATAGTCCGTATGGGACCTTAAATAATACTCTTATCTTTAAATTTAAAAATAATAAATTCATTCTTATATATTAAAAATTTTAAATTACAAATTAAAATGGATTATTCTGAACGTAAATAATAATAATAATTTCTCGTGTTGTACGTTTGTAAGATTATGATAATACATGGCTAAACGTAATTTTAATGAAAAAGATCAGTAAACGACAAACTTAATAAAACCCATAAAAATTTAAAAAAATGTATGTATTGAAATTATTATAAATTTTAATAAAACTATTTGCATTATTACATAAATAGTTACATATAATAAAAATATTACACCGCCACGCTGGTTATGTACATCAGAGTAAACTATTTCTCAAGACGTACCTGTATAGGTACGTACTTGAGTTTTTTTTATGTATTAAATAACTTACTTCTTTGTTAAGTCTCTACCTAACCATTTATTTTATGCTCCCGGATATGCATGTATATTTAATCAATGAATTCATAAATGAAACTAAAAATATTATACATAAAAATCAAATCATAAAAAGTGTATTTAAAACTAAAATAATAAAAATTAGGTATATTAAGCAATTAGGGAAAATAAAAATTATTTATTGACAATGAAAATTAATAACTTAAAAATTAAAAACGTTTTCAATCCCTTTAAACCTATTTACACATAGTTCAAAGTATAGATAAGAATATATATTTATTAGTTATTACTTATTACCAGGGCTCAAAAGTTATAAAAATGCATGTTTTTCTTGGTTCGTCCTAGAACATCCAAAGTAAGGTACAAATATGTTACACACTTTTCTGATACTATACCTACACGAAATTTAATTTTGCTAATTTTTGCATATTTACGGTTTTTATTGTTATTTTACTAATTTAGGGTTTTTAGTACTATTTTTGGGTATATTTTCACATAATACATGAAGTATTTGCATTTTATTGAAAAAAGTTATTTATTTGGTTATATTTTTAAAAATATTTTAATTTTTGGAATTTTTTTTTTATTTTTTAATTATAAATTATAAAATTGTAAAATTACATTAAATTTTTTTTCTAATAAATTTATAATTTTTTCAAATTAAATGCATATTTTTTGATTTTTTGAGCTATTTATAGCTCATATTTTAGAGTTTTTTAATGCCTATTCAAGAGCTAAAAAGTAACATTTTTAATGCTACAACTTTCGAGCGCTGCTTATTACCATTAATTAAAAATAATTTATTATTTACATTACTATTATCTATTAATTTTAATATAAGCGTCTTTATGTAGGTATATTATTTTATTATTAATAAAAATAAAAATAATAAATAATTTTTAATCATTTTAAAATGTTTATATTTAGCTAAATGTTTCATGTTTTAAGAAAAGTATTTAACGCATCAAAAAATTAACGTTATACGGTTATTAGTTAGAAGGATGGACACATTATGTGTGGTCATAAAAGCTATATTTCTATATCAATACCTATTTGCTTACCTAAAATTTTTTTAAGATTGTTGCTGCACATCGCTGTTTTTTATGTTTTTTATGTATGATTAACAATTTTATAACTACCTACATAACACACACACATATATAAATATAATACTGTTTCAGTGACTAATATAAATAAGCCCATTTATTTATTATACTTGACATTAAACATAATAATAATTATTATTATTGTAAAAAAATAACCATATTATATAATTATTGAAAACTATGATTTACTTTTATTACAAAAGACGAAATACATTTTCAGGTAGCGACCAATGTCACCGTTCAGAAACATCACGTTTCTCGGGATAAACGTGGCCAGGTTCTTGGCAATGTTCGGGGATTCCGGGGTTGTACAGTTTGGTTTACAGGTCAGTACAGATAATAAACTTTATGTAAATTATTTGTATCATGTATGTATGTATTTTTCATGAATAACGTCAAAAATTAATTGAAAATTTTTTTATTTTTTTCAGGATTATCTGGTGCCGGAAAGACGTCTGTGTCCTTTGAATTGGAAGCATATTTGGTTGCCAGAGGAATACCAGCTTATGGATTGGATGGCGACAATATGCGAACAGGCTTAAACAGAGATCTGGGATTTAGTCCCGCTGATCGAGAGGAGAACATCAGGCGTGTGGCTGAAGTGGCCAAATTGTTTGCCGACAGTGGTGTTGTTACACTGTGTAGTTTTGTGTCTCCATTTCAACAAGTGAGCAGCTAGTGTAAAACCATAGTATCTACAAATATTACAACAGGTGATTTTGACAAATGGTGTTTTTGTCATAATGTAGGACAGAGAAATGGCTAGAAAGATACATAAAGATGCTGATTTACCATTTTTCGAGGTGTTTGTCGATGCACCTTTAAGTGTGTGCGAAGAACGTGATGTCAAAGGTCTATATAAAAAGGCCAGAGCTGGTCATATTAAAGGTAATTTATTTATATATTTTTTTTAAATACTTACAATTCTATGTATAATTCTTTAGTGAACTGCTTAGTGCTAGTACTTAATATTGTGTATTATATACATATTATATTATTACAGTTATATTAATCATTAATGACTTAGTAAAACATTAAGTATTTTAATTGAAATTATAATGAGTTGTATTTGAATAAGCCATGTAAGAAGTACAACTGTTTTTAATTTTTTTTAATTTCTAGGATTTACTGGAGTTGACCAAGTGTATGAAAAACCAGATTCCCCAGAATTAGTTCTTAAAACAGTTCATTTATCCATAGAAGAAAGTACTATGCAAGTAGTACAAATGCTTGAAGAAAATGTAAGTTATTATGTTATATGTATATAAATATAATATTATTGTTTATTTTATACATAACAATATAGTTTTAACTATTATAAAGTCTTGAAAAATCGGTCATGTACTCAATATCCAAAAGGCCATATTACCGCTTTGACTGTTTAGGTTATAGACTATAACGGCAAATTTTGTTAGGCAGCGACATAATTACATATCTGTAACATTGAAATATTAATTTAAAAATATCACCACAAGTAATTTGAATGCGGTATAATATTATGATACGCGTTTTTGAATAAAATATCAAAAGTTATGTAGAATTAGGTAGCTAATATATTACAACCTTTGGGTGGTAAAACCCTTAATTCGGCTTAAGAATACCACTAAACATGTATCTTATTGGTATTTTCTAATGATACCTATTTATTAATAGTACATTCAAAATATCTAAGTTGTCTCAATAAAAACTATTAAACTATATTTTATAAAAACATTTTGTTTTTGACATAGACACACTCTATGTATGTAAAATACCTTGTACCTTATTAATTTTTAAATTTTTTTTTCAATTATAATTCATCAATGGAGATTTAGAACATTAGAACATAGATTTATTTGATATAATATTAAAGTAGTGATACTGTGATGGACATTAAATGGAATTTGTAATAGATGTTATTATTTCACTTTATTACATTAAAATAAAAAGAAATATTGAAATAAAATGAAAGTTATCATGATAAATTGATCAATTCATAAGATACATTATATATCTATTATTTAGAATAAACATTATTTTAAAAATAATAATTAAAACCTATTGCTTGTATGTATGTTTTATTTTAAAATGTTTTAATTTTAGGAAGTAATTCCTCTGCAAATGAACCGTGACATTGACCGTGTACCTGAACTATTTGTACCAGAAAATGCAATTGAAAAAACCAAATCCGAAGCATTATTACTCCCTCGGCTTGACATTGGAAAATTAGATACACAATGGGTACAAGTATTGGCTGAAGGCTGGGCAGCTCCACTTGGTGGTTTCATGAACGAAGATGAATATTTACAAGTATGTAATAACAATTTTCCTATAAAGCTATACAACATTAAAGAATTGTTATTTATAGATTATTATCTCTATTTTCAGACTTTACATTTCAATAGTTTTAGCGAGGATGTTAATCAATCCATACCTATTGTTTTGCCTATAACTACTGATAAAAAGGAACAACTGTTTGGCTGTGAAGAAATTGCTTTATGGTATAATTCAAAACCAATAGCAATACTTCGTAAACCATCATTCTATCCACACCGTAAAGAAGAACGAGTGTGTCGTCAATTTGGAACATCGCATCCCAATCATCCTTACATAAAAGTAAATTATTTTTTTAAGTGCTTTTAACCAAATGGTATTTGATATTTAATTAATTATATTCTAGACAATTTACGAAAGTGGTGATTGGTTGGTTGGCGGTAACTTAGATGTTATAGAAAGAATCTTATGGAATGATGGTTTGGATGATATTCGTTTCACACCAAATGAACTCCGTGCTAAATGGAGAGAAATGAAAGCTGATGCAATATTTGCTTTTCAACTTCGAAACCCAATACATAATGGCCATGCACTATTAATGCAGGTGTGTATTATGATTTATTTATTAATTATTTTAGTTAATATGTTAATCAATTAATTAGGATACTAAGAAAAAGCTTCTGGAACGCGGATATAAGAAACCAGTTTTACTGTTACATCCTCTTGGTGGCTGGACAAAAGATGATGATGTTCCACTCCATGTGAGAATACTTCAACACAAAGCTGTACTTAGAGATGGAATTTTAGATCCAGAAGCTACTGTTTTGGCCATTTTTCCAGCACCTATGAATTATGCTGGACCTACAGAGGTATAATTTCTATGGCATAAAATATCTGATTAGTTTTTAATTAAATATTTTATTTATTAACTTTGTTTTGTTATTAAATATATTTATAATATTTGATTTTTAGGTACAATGGCATGCAAAAGCTCGCATGTCTGCAGGAGCAAACTTTTACATTGTTGGTAGGGATCCAGCAGGAGTTCCACATCCAGATACTAACATATCAGGTGATTTATTCGATCCTACTCATGGTGCTCGTGTGTTGACTATGGCACCAGGTTTATCAGACTTGGAAATTATTCCCTTTCGTGTAGCAGCCTATGACAAAACAAAAAAAGCCATGGATTTTTATGATTCTGCACGACATAATGATTTCAATTTCATTTCAGGCACAAAAATGAGAGGTATATCTTTTTGTTGTAAATATTTAACCTAATCTAATTTCATCTAAAAATATCTATTCAATCAAATTGTACTTAAAGGTCTAGCCAAAGATGGTATTGAACCACCTGCTGGGTTCATGGCGTCTTCAGCCTGGGAAGTACTGGCCAGCTATTACAAATCATTGAATAAACTTTAAACAAGATTTTATTTATTTATAATTGTCCATGGTGGACGATGGACATTCCTATTTAAATTAACTAACTATCTCTCCATTCCTCTTTAAATTTCTTTACTTCTATATATTATGTATGAATTATTTTTATTTTTTATGTTTTTGTTTATTATTTTGGTGCGTTGAACAATATAATATATTGGTTGTATGTAGAATAGATTTTTTTATTAATGTTATGCAAATGCAATAGTACAATATACATTATAGTGATAATAATTTTAAAAACAAAAATGTTTGAAAAATGACAGTAGTAAATTTAATGTTGATAATTTAATCACAGCCATTGAATTAAAATTACCAAAATGAATAACAATTACTTAATAGTATTAAATATAATTTCTATAAATTATAATGAACAATTAAACAACCAAAGTGTACACTTCTATTTATATTTACTATTAATTTTAGATATATTATATTATATAAATTAGTTGTTTTCAGAATGTATTTTCTAATATTATTATTCTACTGCTGTTGATTACAAAATTGATACTAATGACTTAATTTATGTGTTACCATTGTTAAAAATTTAAATTTAAATTTAAATATATGTTTATTTCTAAATGTTTTGTTTATGTGTATTTTTTAATTTGGAGTAAAAAAATTGATCATTTAGAGTTTAGAGTGTTTAGTCCATCTAATTCTTTAACCAACCAAATACTCGTATATACTATTTTGTATCATATATGATTCAGTTCAAGATTTATCACCATCACATTCTCCCCCAATAAAATAAATAATTAAAACATGACTAATCAAAGAAGAAAATGTACATTCCTATTTGTTATTTTATATTTAGTTTTAATTATATTTTATAAATATAATTTATTCATATGATAAATTAGTAGGTATTGTTAATTTTGACTAATAGATTTTCAGTTACATTTTTAAAATTTACATTGTTTTTAGTTGGTAGAAAAAAGTACTTGTAAGTTATAAATTTTAAAATATTAAATAAATTAAAACAATATTTCTATATTTTAGATACCTAGTTAAAACCATCATACAAATATTATATGAAAGAAATGTTTTCAGTTATTAAGTCATTAAGATGTAATATAATGTATAATTATATTTTATATAAAACTACTACTTACATTACTACAATTACCTCAATAGTCACTAATCAGTATCTCAATTTAACAATTATTTTTTATTACCTATGTTTATCATTGTTCTTAAAATTAAAGTTTAAATTAGGAGCTCAAACTACTAGATATTTAGAATACTTCGATTTTCTACAATTTACAATGCTTTTCGAGATCCAATTCGTCATCCGTTCATAATCTATTTTTTGGAACGCAATGATTTATGTTTGTTTTTAAACAATTTATTATAATTATATTATAGGCTTGTCGCCAATGCTATTTATAATATATAGATAGTTGTAATGTTGTATACGTATACTAATACTAGTATACTCGTCCGCACTAGCGAGCGGCGGCCCATAAAAAATTAATTTAATTTTTGATTTTTAATCTCTTACGAATTACGGTTTGGTAAACACTTACAGCTATATGGTATAAGCGCCATAGATATGAAAAAAAATGCTTAATAATTTACATTATTGAGTTTAGGCCAGTGATCACTGTAATTAGTGTAATGTGGATGTGTAAAATTCGAATTTTTATGATAGTTTGACAACTTTAAGGTTTTATTTCAATAAACAAATAAATAAAATAAAAATAAACTATAATAATTATATTTTTTAATAATATACACACACAAAAAAAAAATTAATCAAGTTAATAACAAGATTTAAGAATATTCTTTGTTTAGTGATCTACCAATAATTAGTCTTCTGATTTCGCTGGTACCTGCACCAATTTCATATAATTTGGCATCTCTTAAAAGTCTGCCAGCCGCATAATCATTTATATAACCATTTCCACCTATTAAGCCAATACAAAAAAAAAAAAAATTAAAAAAATAATTAACGAATCAATATAACGAAAGTAAAAGTATGATACTTGCCTAAACATTGTATGGCGTCCAATGCAATTTTAACTGAATTTTCAGCAGCAAAAAGGATCACTCCAGCACAGTCTTTGCTGCAAACGTGACCCTTATCACAGGCTCTAGTTACGTTGTAAAGATAATTCCTAGTGGCACTCAGTATTGTATACATATCAGCGATTTTAGCCTAAAATTAAAAAGAAATATGAACATCAAGTATGTAGTAATAGATTTTATAATATATTCTATTGATTGATCTATATATATATGTATATATATATATATGATACTGTATGTATCTATCTAATCAATAAAATATGTTATTTTAATATTTAACATTAATTGGGGACGTACTTGAATTAATTGAAACTCTCCAATTTTAGTATTGAACTGTTTCCTAGAATGTACGTAATCAAACGTCAGGTCTATACACGCTTGCATTAATCTAAAATGTATGATTGTATACATTATAAAAAAAAATATATAGTTCATATATGTTTATATAATAAAGAACAAAGGTACAAAAGTATAGCAAGATTTAATATAAAAACTCAATAATAGTTTATTAAGCGAATTAATCTAATCATTATCATTGATTTGAATTCAATATACCCAACAGGCCCGGCACTAAGCACCATTCGTTCCAAGTCTAGTCCGGACATTAAAACGTATACGCCTTTATTTTCCTCGCCTAACACATTTTCAACTGAAAAATAAAAAATTACATTAGTTGATTAATGTATTGAATCTTTAATTCATTATGTATTCAATCATATATTAAGGGAAGTTTAACTAATGACTAATGAATAATGCCTAATAAATATTTATTCATAGTTATTTTTAAATTTTAATAGTTTACATAACTGTAATTATAACTTGAAATTTAAATTTGAAAAATTAAAATATCGAAAAAGTAAAGAGTACAGATAATTTTCTTACATAATAATATATTCTAATTTTAAAATAAGTAAATTCACTTTATAAGCCAACAATACGAAATTTATTCCACTGAACTTAAATTTGATGCGTATTTTACGTTTATCAAATGGAGACAAGTGACTATCCGGGAGTCAGACCATTTAAATAATAAAATATAGGTACGTCAAAAATAATATGTAATAACTGCGTTGAGATAAACGCTACATTTCATAGAAAAAGTTGCCATGAACATGACGGTATAATATATATTTTAATAAAATATAAGTAAGCTTTTGCCATTTGCAAAGTTTCAATAATTGGCCTTGTTGAATCTCTTAATCATGTTCAAAGAAAGTTTTTACGTTTTATCGCGTAGACATAAGAGAAAATAAAACGTTAACTTAAATTCGTCAGTAACTATTTCTTTATCGTCAATTTAGCCTTACGTTAGATTCTCTTGGTTTTAAACTCAAATCTGTATTTATTATATGTTTTATGTACAAATTAATAAAAGAGGTTATATCCTGTTTGAATTTATTACATAATTCTTTAAATTTTTATACTTCTTAAATCTTAATATAGTTAACGATATTATCTTACGTTCTCAATTCCATTTAATCGTACCGAATATAGCAAAATAATCGCTATAGAATGTAATTAAAACACTTTAATTTGTCCCATGCATAAGATTTACATTTGATAATAAACCAATTTTGTTGAAATCTATTTAATCTAGTGGTTTTTTATGTTACCTATTCAATTGTTATTATTAAATTAATATTAATAATATTTAGTGGCTTTGTATGGTGCGGTGGTTGGCCTCAGTCTCGAATGTGTTCTGAGGTCAAGCATTGGTGGCGTCATTAGCTTTTGGATAAGTGACTGTCCCGTTTCTTAGTGATAAATCCATGACCCATACACATATACACACGTGTTCCAACTTTACAATCAAATCCTACACAAAAAAAACCTACTGTTTCTATCTACAGCTAATATGGCCTTAGTTGCCGGGTTTAATAAGATCAATAAAAAAATAAAAAAATACTAATATTTATAATGTATAATGGTATGTTAAGTTATATTACAATAAATTGATCTATACTGTACTTCAGCCTTACAGATGTTTATGACAATAAATAAATAAAACATCTTGTTTATATCATTTAAATGTTTATCTCAATAGATTAGGTAATATGTATAATAAATAAAGTGTATACTTATTTTCTACTGAATAGTAAACCAAACTCATAAATAAAAGCTTGTATACAATATATATATATATATATATATATATATATATAATGAATATATGTCTATAAATGAAGGAGATAAGTCAGTAGGTATAATATTATGTTAGAATTTATTTGTTAAAAGTGTTAAAACCATTAAATAATAAAGTTTTTACGATTAAATTATACATAATACATTTATTTACTTTTATAACAAAATATATATTATTAGTTTATACTTATACTCGTAGGTACTTAAAGCTTATGTTTGTACCATATAATATTGAAAAATATGAATTAATTATTATTTAACTATAAAATCTAACCCTTCTAAACTATTGTCAACCTCATTTACGGTCTTGTATTATCTTGTTATATCTTAAAAATATATCAACTACAATAGCAGCAATAGACTCCCCTTCGTAACATAATATCAATTTTCAAAACTATATTGACTACTTTTATACTATTTAGTCAAAATTTCATCTTAAATGGCAACTATAATGCAAAGCACTATTGATGAGGATATTGGATTAACAACCCTAGAAATTTGGTACTCCACAGTTTTACTAATCAAAAGTGCTTTACTATTCTCGCACCAACATACTGACCCACCTCACTGCGCAAAATATCAGACATACTTGATATTTTGTTTCTAGCACTCTACGTAATTTGTTCTTTACAATTGCAAATCTTTTAGAACCTAGCTCGAATCACTCAACAATACTTCTGCCTGCCACTACTTCTCGTTTTTTCTGGTCTCCTCCACCAAAATATTATAATAATATTATTAACGTTATCTCTATACGTAAAAAAATATTTCAAGGATTTTATTGTTTATAAGTATAATTTACAATATTTTTGTGGTTTACTGCAAATAGATAATAGTTTTATATATTATTATTATTGTCAAAATAAACTTGTTACAGGATATTGTAATATCTACAAAAAATTATTAATTTATAAATGTAAAATGCATTGTATTTATACTATTTTGTAAACATAAATTTTAAGCTTTATTTTTAAATTTATA